GGCCACTGCACTCCAGTCTGGGCGACAGAGTGAGACTCCAACTCAAAAAAACAAAAATCTCAGAGAAATATCTCAAGTTGGAGGAACTTGAGAAGAAGGTCCTATGGCCACGTCAGAGGAGGCTGGGAAGAGCCCAAGAGGAGCCTGGAGAGCACAGGTTCAGACCCGGGCTCTGGGAGTTACTGCCAGTTACACTCGGGTTCATTTACATTTTTTTTTTTTTTTTTTTTTTTGAGTTGGAGTCTCACTCTGTTGCCCAGGCTGGAGTGCAGTGGCACACTCACCGCCACCCCGGCGTCAGCCTGCTAGACTCCGGTGATCCTTCCGCCTCAACCTTCTGAGTAGCTGGAACTACAGGTGCGCGCTATCGCACCTGGCTAATTTTTTTGATTTTTATTGTAGAGACGAGGTCTCGCCAAGTTGCCCGGGCTGGTCTCGAACCCTCATGTTCAGGCAATCCACTTGCCTCGACCTCCCAAAGTGCTGGGATTACAAGCTGAGCCACAGAGCCTGGCTCCATCTACAGTTTTACAGCTTCCCTGGCTGCTGTTTAAACAGACTGAAGGAGCAGGAGGATACTGCACTAGCTTTGGAGAGGTTGGGGTAATGGAAATAGAAAAACAGGAAGGAATTGAGTATCTTGAAGGTAAACTCAATAAATTATGCATGGGCTGTACTACAGGGTAAAAAAAGAGGAAAAATTAGGCCCCAAATCCCTTCTTGGAAACCTTTTGGGCCATATGTATTTTGGAATTCAGAATTTTTCAGATTTCAGCAAGTAATACAGGCAAGTAGCATATAGTATACACACCCCAGCATAATCAGGGGTAGTGTCCTATGATCAAACATTTCGTTATTTAGGCAGCAAAATATACAACGGCCACATTAGTTGGATAAATAGGCTATAAATGGCTTTGCATCAGCATAGGTCAGGTTTGATACCAAATGAGTTGAGGTTCAGGTGCCACCAGACAAATGACAAAGATATTTACGGTTTTCAGAGTTCTACATTGCAGACCTGCAGCTGCACTGAGATCCTGGGTTGGTCTGCACAAATTGCTGACTAAGATGTCAGTTCTCCAAAGGCAAGGCTACGTTTTAATCACCCATTTTGTTCAATAGTTGGCAGAATGCTTGGTACAGGATCACCATTTAATTCAGATTTGATGACTTGTTAGTTTAAAGTCTGATTACCAGACGAGTTAGAACTTAGTAAAGTGAAGCCGGGCTCGGTGGCTCAGCCTGTCATCCCGCGCCTTTGGGAGGCTGAGGCGAGTGGATGGCCTGAGCCCGCGGGTTCGAGCCCCGCCCGGGCAACTTGGCGAGACCTCATCTCTACAATAAATCACAAATGAGCCGGCTGTGGCAGCGCTCCCGTAGTTCCGGCTACTCGGAAGGCTGAGGCGGAAGGACGGCCGGAGCCCAGCAGGCGAGGCTGCGGTGGCCGGGAGGGGCCACTGCACTCCAGTCTGGGTGACCGAGTGAGACTCCAACTCAACAACAAAAAAAACAAAACAAACAAACAAACAAAAAACATGAAAGGCAGTACAAAAGATCAAGATCAATCTCATACATTCAATGATACAAACATGCTAAACAGACTATCAGAAACAGAATTCAGTGGAACTTTAAAAGAAACATATCATGACCAAGAGGTGTTCAAGTCCAAGAATAAACAGACTGTTTAATATTAGAAGATCTAAAAATCGACCTTCCATATGACCCCACAATCCCCTTAATGGGAATATACCCAGAAGAAATCAAATCACTATGAAAAAGATACCTGCACATTATGTATGTTTATCACAGCATTGTTCACAATAGCAAGAACCTGGAAGCAACCATGCTGTCCATCAAAAGAGGACTGGATTAAAAAAATGTGGTACATATACACGATGGAATACTACGCAGCCATAAAAAAGAACACAATCATGAATTTCACAGCAACCTGGATGGAACTAGAGTCTATAATACTGAGTGACCTCTCACAGAAACAAAGATCTGAGTATCACATGTTCTCACTCATATAGTGGAG